AACCCACAACCAACATCATCAACAGTTCCTGGTGCCTGTGAAAAACCGAATGGGGTAATCCAAACATTCACCATCTAAATAGCTTCTGAGACTTCATGAAGATCTGGGAAACCGATAGTGTACCCCACACATAAGGAGAGTCGATTGTTATATCCATCTACAAGAATGGTTCTCACAACGCCTTTTCCAGCGACAGTGGCGTAAGTCTGATTCCAATAGCGCCGAAGCTGCTAACGTTCATTTTATTACGTAGACTAAGTCCATTTCATGACAAGCGAGGAGCAGGCCGGGTATTGTGCATGCAGTGGTTGCATAGATCAAAACTTCACCCTTCATCAGCTGCCAGAACACCGCCACCCATATAGACGAAAAACCATTGTCGTGTTTTTGGACATCAGAGCTGCTTTCGACTCGGTCGATCGCCCCGCTATGGAACCGTTTGCGAAGATACGGAGTACCCAAGAAGCATGTTCTCCTTCTAAAAACACTCTACCACCAGACCTCGGGGAAGGTTAATGCCTATGGTGAACTTTCACCCTCATTTCTTGTCACCAGTGGGGTTCGACAGGACTGCCTTATCTCTCCGTTTTTCTTCAACTTTGCCATGGATCATGTTCTACAAAATGCGTTTCATAACGTAACGAACACTGATCTCGAGCTTCTTCCTGGAGACAGAGTCGTAGAATTAAAGTATGCCGATGATATCTTCTTACCCTGTGACAAAGCACTGACGATTCAAGAGTCGTTGAATCGTTTGGCAATTAAGGTTACTCGTAATGGTTTGTCCCTTGCACCCTCGAAGTGCAAAGCGGTGTTACGAGATTGACAGGAACCCGTTCCTTCACTTTCATTGAGTAATGACACCCTGAAGTAGTTGAAAGCTTTTTCTACCTCGGGAGTTGCATAACGATTGGCGGATCTGTGGATGAGATCTCTCAACGCGTGATCAAAGCTAGACTAGCGTTTTCTAATGTGGGACATCTCTGGCGCAACGGTACGTGCCGTGTTACTGTAGGGCTGCAAAACCTGGTCTCTCCGAGCAGATCAAGTCCGTCCGTCTTCGAAAACCGTTGT